CAACACCGATCAGATTGTCCTCAAACAGGAGCGCTTCTGCATCGCCGCCACATAGTGTGGGCACACCTTGGTGACAGCCGATCAGTCGCTTCTGAGGCGCATCAGGGAATGTTCGGAGAAGGATCGGGCAGTGGCTGAGGCACTTGAGAAGGTGCAGAACCTCGGGCCGCCCCAGCTACAGAAGGGCTTTGAGGGGTGGAATGCCGAACAAGGGCTTCTGTTGTTCCGCAGATGTGTATATGTCCCAAAGAACACAGAGCTCCGGCGGGATATTGTCAAGATCCACCACGACTCGCTGATCGCCGGTCATGGCAGTCATGCCAAAACCCTCGAGCTCGTGTCACAGAACTACTGGTGGCCAGGGATGTCCAAATTTGTCAATGAGTACGTAAGCACCTGCAATGTGTGCAACCATACCAAGACATTCCCAGCCAAGCCCCAGGGTCCGCTGAAGCTGAACGAGATCCCCGAGCGCCCATGGCAGATCATCACCACCGATATGATCATTGGCCTGCCAAAGTCTGATGGATTTGACTCGATCCTAGTTACCGCTGACCGCTTTACCAAGCAGGTCCACTTTTCCGCCTGTCATGAGACCCTGACGGCAGAAGGTGCAGCAGACCTGTATATCCGCGACGTGTTCAAACACCATGGGGCCCCGGCCAAGGTCATATCAGACCGAGGTCCCCAGTTTATGTCAAAGTACCTCTATGTGGTATACAAGGGACTAGGGATCGAACTGGCACTGTCTACAGTGTTCCACCCTCAGATGGATGGCCAGACCGAGCACTGGAATCAGGAGATCGAGCAGTACCTGCGTGCTTTCACAAGCCACAGGCAGGATGATTGGGCAAAACAGTTGCCGCTTGCCGAATTTGCATTGAACAATAGAGTTCATTCGGCAACCAGGCACTCCCCCTTCTTCCTGAATCAGGCATATCACCCTGAGATCCAAGTGCGGATCAATCCGATGTCCACAATGCCTGCGGCCGCAGATCGGCTTAGAATCCTAAAGGAGATCTGCGATGATACGCGCTCTGCGCTGGAGCTATCAGCTGAATGGATGAAGGTGTACTATGATAAGCACGTGCAGGAAGCATCGGTCTTTGCACCGGGGGACAAGGTCTGGCTTGATGCTCGGAACCTTAAGCTAAAACAGCCGAGCAAGAAGCTCAGTCCCAAGCACCTCGGACCATATGCCGTGCAGCAAAAGCTCGGAGACTTAGATTACGAACTGGTCCTGCCGAAGTCGGTGCCTGTGCACCCGGTGTTCCACGTCTCCTTGCTTAGCAAGTACACACGTAGCGAGATCCCGGGCCGGGAGCTGGAGGAGCCGCCTGCCATTGAGGTTGAGGGCGATGAGGAGTATGAGGTTGAACGGATCAAGGATTCGAGGATCTTCCGGCGTCAACTGCAGTACCTCGTCAAGTGGAAGGGTTGCGATGACTCGCATATGTCATGGGAGCCGGCGCGCAATGTCGCGAATGCACCGGCCCTCATAGCCAACTTCCACCAAAAGAACCCAAACACCCCTCGCCGCCTCAATGCCACTGCCTTTGGTGGTCTCAACTTCCAGCCAATGAAACATTTATCTTTCCGTTCTATTTCTTGTACTACTAGCACCCATACTGGCGCCTGTCTTAGCGCTCACCCGCAGGTTGAACATTATGTAGCTTACATAATGGGGTCCGTGCGCACTTCGTGCCTGGTATCGTACCACTACATTTCTTTCTTTCCTAACATGACCACACAGATACAGTGGTCCGTGCATAGCCAGTACTTGTATAAATAGTTGTACCATTAGTCAGTCGAACCCTAAGTTCGACCTGGTTATTCATTCAAGTCTCTGCTCCTCTTCGCTTGGGGTAGTGGTCATTCTCGACTTCCTTGCTCGATCTTCGGGACGACGTACTGTCCATAAGTCCTCGCTCGTCATCTACGAGTCAGGCATCAATATAGGAGTATAGACCATTGTATCAAAAGGTCGAACTTTCTAAGCTATGTTCCTAGTTTTACCTAGTCGAACATCTCATCCACCATTACGTCGAACAATGCAATCAACCCGGTTCCTTTGGGACTACCAGCCCTCGCAGAATCACCACTCCTCCAGTACAACCAAGCGGACCGCTGCTTTGTCACCTCCACAAAAAGGGCTCCCATCTACCCTCGAGGAGGCACCTGGTGTCGTGCAACTGGTCCAAACCTGCAGGTCGTTGCCCATCAAGAACTCCTTAGCTACTACCAGAGACACCCACCTGCTCACCCAGAAGATGTATTCACCATCCTATGGATCGACGTCGAACCTATACAAACAGCAGAAAGTGCACAGTCACCCATCAACGAACAACCACTCGAACTTCCTGAAGTCCAGTACGTCCCCATTGAGATCCCAGACATCGAACTACCACCAGCTCCACCCGCACCAACCAACGCACCGGTTGAAATCCCTATGGCATCGTTCACCCAAGAAGACATCGATCAGCGCATCGCTGTCGCCCTCGTAGCATACCAATCCCAACAGTCAACTGCCAACCAACCCCTTCATCTCGACATCCCTGCTCCTGAACCCTTCAGCGGGAAGGCAGAGGACCTCAGACGCTTCATCCAATGCGTCCTCTCCTACTTCATCGCCACCAACAACACCCAACTCAGCGATGAAGCAAAGATTGCCTTCACTGTAGCGCTGATGAGGAAGGATCTGGGGAAGACATGGGCGGACGCATATTACGAGAAGTCGGCAGGGGGAGTCCAGGTCTATTCCACATGGGCAAACTTCGTCGCTGCCCTAGAAGAGGTGTTCCCTGAGCATGGAACACGAATCAAGGCACATCAAATCCTGATGAAACTGCCTGAACGACAAAAGGATAGGAAAATGGCACTCTCCCTCGGTAACTACATCACCCGATTCGAGCAGCTAGCATCAAAGGCTCAGCTCAAGGACACTGAGGTCAATGGCACCAACCGCATCAAGAACAACTACCACACTCTCCACGCCAACTTCGTCAAAGGACTCCCGAAGGAGCTGTATTTTGCTCTCACAACAAGGGTCACTAGGGATCGACCCAACACCATGAAGGCCTGGTACGACAAAGTTCGAAAAGCTGACACAGCCAAGCAGGGGGCTCTCGTTGTTACATACACCAGGGACTATGGCGAACCAATGGATATCGATGCCGCTGCCGTCACATCAACCTTTGCCTCCACATCAGGAGGAAGGAAATGGAAACTAGGAGCCATTCTCAACGAGGCTGATCGGAAGCTCCACAGGGATGGGAACCTGTGCTTCTACTGCCACATCAAGGGCCACAGTGCCAAGGATTGCCGCAAGAAAGCGGCCGCACGACAAGGGGGTGGGAGGCCGAACCAGGGAGGATCTGGGAAGGACGACTTCCGAGCCAGAATCAAGACACTCTCCGCTGACGAAAAGCGGGAGCTGTACGAAGAACTTACAATGGAGGATTTTTGAAGGGGCAGGGTGAGCCGACGCAACCACTGCCCGTATCTGTTTCACTGTCCCGTGTAATTTTAGTAGTCCAAAATGAACGCGCTCTGCACATTCCGATTACTGTGGGACAAAAAGACATTGAGGTGCGCGCTTCTATCGATAGCGGCGCAACTGGAATCTTCATCAGCCCGAGATTCATCCAAGAACATCGACTTCGGACAGAACCTCTTCCCCGACCCATCCCCGTCTTCAACGTGGATGGAACTCTGAACAAAGAAGCACTCATCACGCGAAGAGCTCTCTTATCTTACAAGATAAGCGGAGAACCCCGAGTTGTCAAAGCCTATGTCACCAGCATCGGCAAGGAAGACATCATCTTCGGCCATACCTGGCTCAAGCTTGAAAACCCCAAGATAGACTGGAAAACCGGACGAGTTGAGCTAAACCACTGCTGGACGAAAGACGAGACCAGGGCCTGGACGAAAGACGAGACCAGGGCCTGGAAGATGGACCTGTACCAAAGGCGAGTGGCTCAGCTAGAACTAAAGAAGGCCGTAACTACCCCACTCCCAGAACCAATGGAGGATGAATTCGCTGTCATCTCCACCTCGGAATATGCAACCCTTCCTGAATGAAAGACTAGCGGCGCAGCAGGATATGATATCTCTGCTGTGCATCAACTTATCATCCCTGCTCAACGACGAGGCCTGATCGGCACCGATCTTATCATGGCTATACCCAAAGAACACTATGGAAGAATTGCACCTCGGTCCGGTCTAGCACTAAAGGAAATTGATGTCGCTGCAGGAGTAATCGACTCCGATTACCGAGGCAAGGTCTCAGTCCTGCTGGTCAACAACTCTGACCTCCCATTCACTGTCAAAGCCGGCGACCGAGTTGCTCAGCTCATCCTTGAAAGGATAAGCACTCCACCAATAATGCTAACTGACCGCATCAACGAAACGGAACGCGGGGAGGATGGGTTTGGATCAACGGGTATTGCGTCCATCGAGGAACAAACAGAGGACATTGACGATGATGAGTTCATCATTTCCTACTTATCTGGAACACCGATGATCACCAAGTACGAGAAACAGGAATCCCTAGCAGTAAGGAATGTCCCGCTCAAGGAGCAACTCCCAGAACTTTCGTCCGGCTACAAACGACTCCACAATGGCATGATCTGGAAGATCCATCACAACATTAGGCGAGTCACAACATCCACCGAACTTGCGGCCTCGAACGCCCAAGGCAAGACGGAAAAAACACTACCACAGATGATACCGTCCTACCTACACGACCTCCTCCCCGTCTTCGACAAAGGCACCGCTGCGTGACTTCCGGACCACACTGAATATGACCACAAAATCAACCTCAAGGAGGGTTTCACAGACATGAAGCAACAGGTTTATCCGCTCAACCCGCAGCAACGAAAGGAACTCGACAAGTTCCTTGAGGAGAACCTGAGTAAAGGGTACATTCACCCTTCGAAATCCCCGTTGGCGAGTCCATTCTTCTTTGTTGGTAAAAAGGACGGTTCACTATGCCCCTGTCAAGACTACTGGCTGCTCAACGAGAACACGGTCAAAGATCAGTACCCGCTCCTGCTTATATTGGACCTCCTCAACAAGTTGAAGCACGCCAAGGTGTTCACGAAGATGGACCTCCATGCCGGATACAACAACGTCCGAATCAAGAAAGGGGACAAATGGAAGGCAGTGTTCATCGTACCTGGAACCGATGGCAAACCGCCGCAGTTGTACGAACCAACGGTGATGTTCTTTGGGCTGTGTAATTCCCCTGCCACGTTCCAGCGGATGATGAACACTATATTCGCAGACATGCTTCAAGAAGGCTGGCTCTGCATCTACATGGATGACATCCTGATCTTTTCCCAGGACAAGGCAGAACACGAGGAACGAACATGATGTGTTATCAAACGACTTCGACAACACGATCTCTACCTCAAACCGGAGAAATGTGCCTTTGACGTCACCGAAGTCGAATTCCTTGGCATGATCATCTGCCCAGGAGAAATCGCAATGGACCCTGTCAAACTAGCTGGCATTGCAAACTGGCCAGTGCCGTCCAACCTCAGGCAAGTACACGCCTTCATTGGATTTGGAAACTTTTACCGCCAGTTTATCAAAGGCTTCTCGGACAAAGTGCAACCACTGGTTGCTCTCACCTGGAAGGACATCACCTGGACCTGGGGATCTGATCAACAAATGGCTTTCAAAACTCTCAAAAAGGTGTTCCTGGAAGAACCGGTACTACGCATGCCGGATCCCGACCGACCCTTTGCTATTGAAACTGATGCCTCCAAGTTTGCAATGGGAGCGGTACTATGCCAACACGATGACAACGGCGACTGGCATCCTTGCGGATACCTCTCTCAAAGCTTCAATGCGGCCGAGAGAAACTACAACATCTACAACAGGGAGTTATATGCGGTCATTCGCGCACTAGATGAGTGGAGGCACTACCTTATTGGCAGCCCATACCCAGTGACAATTCTCAGTGACCACAAGAATCTCACATATTGGAAGCAGGCCAAAGACATGAACCAACGACAAGCACGCTGGGCGAGTAAACTGACCGAATTTGACTTCCGCCTGGTACACGTTCCTGGTACCCAAATGGTGCAAAGCGACACTCTCTCCCACCGACCCAACCATGACAATGGCTCTAATGACAACACCGACGTCATCATGCTCCCACCAGAAGTATGGGTCACTGCCATCGACATCGACACCCATGACACCATCCTTTCATTCAAAGACGACCCCATAATGAAGGAAGGCCTCACTGCAGCATGCACTGGAGGGACCCCACACACCGGAACAGACTGGACCATCGATGAGGACCTCCTCTTGTACCAGGATCAGGTCTATGTACCCCCAGATGAGTCTCTTCGCAAACATCTTGTCTCCCACTATCATGACCTCCCCTCTGCAGGACACCCCGGTGTTCAGAAAACCCTCCTTGGCTTGCACCACAACTACTGGTGGCCAAGCATGGCCCAGTTTGTCACTCGCTATGTTAACGGCTGTGGCATCTGCCAGCAAATGAAAGTCAACACGCATCCAGCCCGTCCACCCATCACCCCCATCCGACCACGCACAAACACCAAGCCCTTCAGCACATTCTTGTGCAATTACATCACCGACTTGCCACCGTCCAACGGCTTTGATTCCATTTTGGTCGTAGTGGACCACGACCTTACAAAGGGGGTAATTTTCATCCCATGCAACAAAACAATTGATGCTCTTGGAATGGCAGACGCAATGTACCAAGAGGTCTACAAGTGGTTTGGACTCCCGGACAAGATCATCAGCGACCGAGGACCGCAATTTGTGTCCAAAGTCTTCCAGGAACTTTGCAAAATGACTGGGATTCAATCGGCCATGAGTACGGCATTCCACCTGCAGACCGACGGTGATACAGAATGAGTGAACCAAGAGCTGGAGATCTACCTCCGCTGCTTCACTGCCAATGACCCGGATAAGTGGGCTGACCATATTCACACCGCGCAATTTGCTCACAACTCCCGTGAGCATTCCACGACGAAGACATCCCCATTCAAACTCATGATGGGATACGAACCTCGCGGAATACCCACCGCGCACCCTGGATCAAACACGCCGCAAGCAGCTTATCGCCTCAAGGACTTGCAAAACATCCGCGAGGAAGCACATGCGGCAATGGAGATGGCCCAGAACATCCTGGCCAAGAGAGTAAAAAGGAAGGGGGGTTCCTTCCGTAAAGGTCAGCTGGTATGGCTAGACTCCTGGAACTTGAAGCTGCCATACCCATCCAGGAAACTAGCCCTGAGGCGAGAAGGGCCGTTCAAAGTCCTAGACAAGATCGGAACAGTTGCGTACAAGCTAGACCTCCCTAGCACCTGGCGAGTCCACCCCGTTTTCCACGAATGGCTTCTATCTCCCTATTCAGAAACAGAGATCCATGGTCCGAACTACACGAGGCCACCTCCTGACCTTATCAAAGGCGAAGATAACTACAAAGTCAAAGCCATCATCGGACACTGAGAGAACAAGAGGATGCAGCACCGCGAATATCGCGTTAGGTGGAAGGGTTACTCAACTGCGGATGACTCATGGGAACCCGAAGCAAACCTAACAGGGACTGCGGACAAAGTGCTAACGGAGTACAAGAGGAGGAAGAACTTGAGCTGAGTCGACAGCACCTCAACCCAATCGCTACACCCCTTCACACATATCAACATGTCCTCCACCCTCTCGTTCCTCGACCAGTTCAACGCCCCCTCAACCGAGGGCAGAAAGAGGATTTCGATCTACACCCCTAAGCACACCCATGTCGGCGACAGCACCTTGCTGACGCTCCTTCTCAGTAACCCCACCGACGTTTTCAACAAGCTCAAAGCCCACAACCCCGAGGCAACCAATGCCACCGACCGCGCTGCACTAGAGGCGTATCTCTCCGCCCGCCGCGAATACGACGAGGCTGTCAAGGCAGCTGACAAGGCCATCGACCATCACAAGCAACTCCTACGTCAACAGGACGACCGTGTCCTCACCGAGCTCATTCGACTCGACAATCTGAAAGTTGCCCATTGCTTTCAACCACTCCTACCACGCAGCATCCGGGCGCAACACAACAAATTCATCCTGCGCACCATCCCCAACGCGTACTTACCCCTACCCGCATCCCTACCGATGTCTGCCTTCAGGCGCCCCCCGATCCCGTTCCCTTTTCTCCAAGCAACACCGTGGAGCACTACCATCCCGGCTGACTGGCAACCCAACCCTGGTTGGACCCCGAAGGGAAGCTGTAGGCGATGCGGATCGTCTCAACACTGGGTACGGGTGATACAATGGTCTATACTCCTATATCGATGCCTGACTCGTAGATGACGAGCGAGGGCTTATGGACAGTGCGTCGTCCTGAAGATCGAGCGAGGAAGTCGAGAATGACCACTACCCCAAGTGAAGAGGAGCAGAGACTTGAATGAATAACCAGGTCGAACTTAGGGTTCGACCGACTAATGGTACAACTACTTATACAAGTACCAACTGCGCACGGACCATCGTGTCTATGTGGTCGTGTTAGTGAAGAAAGAAACGTAGTGGTACGATACCAGGCACGAAGTGCGCACGGACCCCATTATGTAAGCTACATAATGTTCAACCTGCGGGTGAGCGCTAAGACAGGCGCCAGTATGGGCGCTAGTAGTACAAGGAATAGAAC